CATTTTCTTAGAGCCTCGAGGACCTAGGAGTTTAAGATCTCTCATGCTGTATTGAAAGAACAGACTCAGGTGAATTGACTAGCCCATACCCACATAGCTGTCCATCCTTCTTCCCTTTGGCTGCTTTACTTAATATTTACCCCATTTGTAGAGCTGTATGTGTAAATTAAGGAGCGCTAGTAACATGGGTCAGGCATATGGCTGCTAACGACAAGGTCAGCAGTTCAAACTCACTGGTTGCTCTGTAGGAGAAAGATGTGTATCTGCTTCTGTAAAAATTTAGTCTCAGAAACCCTATGGAGCAGTTACACCCTGTCCTATAGGGTTGCTGTGAGTTGGAATTGTTTTTATGTGTAAATTACATCAAGAAAAGAAAGCTATTAAAAGTGTATCTTCCAAACAGGGCAGTTGCTTTGGAATAAGAGCCCTTCAAATATCACAGAGTTGATGATTTGGGTGTTAGGGAGTATTCTAAATTTGGTGGTTAGTGCATCTTGTGAGGGTAGTTGAATGTTGACCCCCGTTCCAGCATCCAAGGGCAATCTGGTTTCTGTGGTAGCAGTAAGATGCTTTTCTTTCAGTGTTCCTTTTCATAGTCATTTTCCTGCCACTTAAAATTAGGCCTAATAATTGTGTGATGTATAGTCACCTAATCATGACAAAGGTGCCAGTGCAATCCAGTAGAGAAAAGGTGGTTTTATAGTAAGTGCTGTCAGATCAACTTGAGAGTCATGTAGCAGAAAAGTAACCTAAATCCCTAGTTACTCTATGCCATTCACACAAATCAATTCCAGATGTAATATAGAATTAAAGATGAAAAGTAAAAAACTTCAAAAAGCTAGTATCTTCATGATCTTGGGATAGGGAAAGATTTATTAGATAAGACACAAGCATACTACTTAAAAATGAGTACACTGATATATATTTTTTCACTGTAAAAGACTGATATTTATTTTAAAATGTCATTAAGAGACTGGTGGTATGGAAAATAGCTAGTGGTTCTTCAAAAAGTTAAACATCGGATTATCTAATGGCCCAACAATTTTTGATATATACCCAGAAGAATTGAAAGCAGGTCATTGCATTATTTACAGTTGCTAAAAAGTGGAAACAGCCCAGGCATCCATCAGCAGATATAAAATGTTGTATACACATAGAGTAGAATTTTCTTCCATGAAGAGAAATGAAATTCTGGTATAGAGCGTGACATGAGCGAACCTTGAAAATGCAGTGCTAAATGAAAGACACAAAAGGACAGATATCCAAGTTTACCTCATCAAATTTTCTAGATCAAGCAAATGCATAGAGGCCATAGTTTATTTGTATTTGCTGAAAGGTTGATGAAGGAGGAAATGGAGGGTTACTGTATAGAGATTACTGAGTTTATGGAAAAAATCTGGAATGGATGGTAAGGATAATTGTACAGTATGGTGAATGTTACTAAATTATATACCTAAAAGTGGCAGAAGTGGCAAATGCCCTGTTAGATATATTTTACCACAATGAAATGAAATAAAATACCTTTAAGACAAGTCAGAAAGATAGAGAAGCTATTTGTAACACAAATTACTTTCAATGGGCTCGTCAAGGGAAATAACTCCTTCAAATCAGAGAGGTAAAAAGAAAACTAATAGAAAAATGATCCGAAGATTTAAGCAGTTCATAAAAGAATAGTCTCACCAACCATTAAACATAAGCAGAAGAGTTCATCTTCACTAATCCTCAGATAAATACAAATAAAACCCCACTAGAATGGCTACAATGATAAAAACTGTTGACCCCAAGGGTTGGCAAGAGCATGGAACAATAGAATCTCTGATACACTGCTGATGGGAATATAGATTTGCACAGCCTGTCTGGAAATTTGTTTGGCAATATATACTAAGGAAGAACAAATCCATACCTTTATGTTACAGCAGTTCTACCCTTATGCGGCAGTTACATAATCTGTCAACTTGAGTGAAAGGGTGGAGTTTAGCCTTTCAATCAGGCCATAGCTAGTGAGGCCTTGTGTAGGCATGGCCTTCTTCTGAGGATTCAGGGAACTCCAGTCTTCTACCCTGGAGGCGGGACACATACTCTCTCTCAGACATTCCTGTTGACAAGCCACATGGAGCTATGCTGATGGAGCTAGAGTTCGGAAGCTGGAGGAGTCACATGGAGACCTACGCCTGCATTGAGATGCTTCCACCGCCACTGGATCCACAAGACTTTCCACCCACTGGCCTGTGATCTTCCTGCATTCAACATCATTGCATGTGCTGCATGAGTCTGAAGAGGAATTTATTGACTGGTATCGAACATATGGACTAATAATTGGACTTATGGACATGGTCTGAACTGGGCTGGGATCTTAATATTATAATTACTCTATATAAAGCTCTTATATACATGAGTATCTATGAATTTGTTTCTCTAGTCAACCCAGACTAACATACTACTTTTATATTTAATGGAAATATATGCATACATATTCCTCCAAAAGACATATAGGACTATTCATAGCACACTGAGTAACCTCAGGCTGAAAACAAGCCAGATGTCCCTCAATAGGAGAATGGAGATGGATAATTTGTGGTTTGCCCGTGTAAGGTGCACCTCATAGCAGTGAGAAAGAATGAGCTGTTGCTACATGTGTAGCCTGGATGAATCTTGGTCTTAATGCTGAGCAGACGAGTCCAGACACAGAAAACACTTAATTCCATTGAAGTACATTGAGATAGAAGTTAGACTCGAATTAGTTACCTCGAGTTAGACAAAAATTAGCTTACCTTTTGGGGGCGGGTGGAGGTAGATATTAATTGGGAGGACGTATGGGAGAGGCTCTATAACATGTTGTCATCTGGTCCCAACCTTTAAGATGAAAAGTGTCAAATACCTGTGGGGGCCAAGTGATAAAGTTTATTGTGCCAACCTAGATGAAGGGCGGAGAGATAAATGGCTCAGTGAGCCTCGCCTTCCTAGTTCTCGGGTCTCTTGTGTTCACTTCCTGCCACACATCCCTGAGAAGAAGCCACATGGACCTACCCCGATGCAGCCCTAGGCCCTGGAGCAGCTTTGTGGAGACCCCTGCCAGCGCTGAGATGCTTACACGTTCACTGATTCGGCTTTCCTCCTGCAGTCGGCATCATAGTGTGTGTTTTGTGAGATGGAGGAGGACTGTGGATTGGTGTCGGACATATGGGTTAATGTTAGACTTGTGGGCTTGGGCAGCACTGGGTTGCGATGTTTTCTGGATGTGCACTTACCCTTTATATAAAACTCTCTCTTATACATGAATTTCTGTGGATCTGTTTCTCTAAAGTACCCAGACTAACACCAAGTAAGTAATTCAATCTGATGAAAAAGGTCTAGACCAAGGTCATCATATAAATTAAATGACTTGAAATGGGAGAGTGCTTGCCTGGCTTTATTGGGGAAATGGCTCATCCAGTCCCATTGACTGTTGCCCTGGATGGAGGTGGGAACTCTGTAGATTCTTTAATACAGAGAGGTTTAGTGGAGCATTATTGGTAATGCCTGCAAGTATTCACCAAAAGGAAGATAATGATTATCTCCAACCACTTGGCTCCACTTTAGCCACCATTAATATAATGTTAAGGTTTATAATGGCACAATAAAATTCTTAGTGAAAAGATCCACTATAAAGTTGCATACACTCTATGCTCATACTTTAATTTTTCTTAGTGGACCACCTTAGAGCTCTATTTTATGAAGCAAAATAGGCCCGAGTTTAGGGAAACCTTGGATGTTGCCCCAAGTCAGGAGACTTCTTTCTTTTCTCTCCTTCATGTTGATGCAGTCAACGTCCAATACAGATGGGCCAAAAACCGACCCTGACTCTTTTCTAGATGACAGTCCATGGTGCGGCCAGCAGTAACTGAGGATGTTGGTACTGTAAGCTGCTGCTCCAGGCTGAAGGACTCACCTTCCACAGTCTCTCTTAGTTCAGGGCATTGGATTGTAATGTCATCTTCCTTCAAGGAGCAATCTCTACAGAAATGCTGCTGATCTAACTTTACTGTGGTAAAATTCACATACAATGAAATTAATCTTTATAGCCATAATACTGTATAGTGGTTTTTAGTATATTAATGAAGCTGTGCATCAATGACCACTAGTTCATTATGGTCAAGAGAACGTTCTTTGTAAGATCTCAGTTCTTTTCACTTTATCTTGGGTTGTTTTATTACCTAACCATGGTCTACCCTAAGGCATGATCCTTGTCAGGTGAGTAAGTGTATAATCCATTGCTATTGGGTGAAATGTCCTATAGGTGTTTTTCAAGTCAAGATAGTTTGTAGTTGTGTTTAAGTCTTCTGTTGCTACGTGTCTTATTAAAATGGAGTATTGATGTATCTATTTGTTAACTTTTTATTTCTCTCTTTAGTTCTGTCAGTTTTTGCTTATCTATTTTGCTGTTCTAGTTTTAGATCCATATATGTATATATTATTGTTTCTGCTGAATATGATAATGTACTTTTTGTCTCAACATAAGTTTTTATTACTGCATGCTTATATTAAACAGTTTAAGCAAAATTGTTATATTAAAAATATGTACTTACAGCAGTTAGTGCTGACAGTAGTGGAGATCTAAGACACTTTCTGTAAATTTACACACATTCATCTTTAAGGAAAAGTGAAATCATAGTAGTGATAATATTATACACCTTAAAAAATGAACCACATTGAATCCCAGTAATTGCCTAGTCTACTACTCTTATTTGGTAAGATGAGGAAATTGAGGCCCAGAGAAGGGCAATGATGAGCCTTAAATGGGTACATAAATGGGGAATAGGTGACTGAGCTGGGGTTAGAACCAGGTTCCGGATTCTTAGTACAGTACTTCTAAGTGAAGTCCACCAGCCACAGTGTCCTGAACAAGAGGACAACTGAAGGTTGTGACAGACATTTGGACTCGGAGTCATGGCAAAGATTGTTTTTATAAGTTGTGTTTTGGATTTATTTTGAAGATTTCTTTCTCTCTTATTTTTTAACAGCTCCTTGTAGAAATTCTTATGAGGCCCACAGTCTCTATTCGGGGACAGAAACTGAAGAGTGAGTATACCTGTCCTCTTCCTTCTTGTCTTGGCTTCCCAACCTGCTGGTGTGGCAGTGGTTCCCATGTGTTGCTCTTCTTCCCTTCGTCACTCACATCCCAACTTGAGTGAGTGCCCCACGCTCAGCTGCGGCTGTCTTCTTTAGGCCTGGACTAAGCAGCTCTCTCCAGTCAGCCTACTCTGGGTGGAAACGCAGATCTGATGCTTTAAAAATGTGGAAACTGCTAAGAGTGGCATCTCTGTACTTTTCACAGTTCTTGCCTTGCAATATAACTTTTATGTCTTCTTCAAAAGTCTTATTTTTTTGGTACATGGTTAATTGAAAGAGTAAGAAATTCCCTGCAAAGATTGATAATTTAAAAACAAAACAGTGCACCTACCAGTTTTTTGGTTGGAATCCCTGGGTAGTACAATGGTTAAGCCCTTGACTACTAGTCAAAAGGTTAGTCGTTCAAACCCACCCAGAGGCCCCGTTGAAGACAGACCTGGCAGTCTGCTTCCAACAAGTCACAGCCTTGAAAATGCTGTGGAGTGAGTCAGCTCCCAGCAGCTGGGACAGGCGAGGTGGCAGCTGATAACAGTGTTTGTTACAAAGACAGATACTGTGTTTTGTTTTTAAGTCCAGACATCACCAGTGCATGTAAAGTAAACATGTTCTGGTATTAACGTTATTTCTTAAGATTGATGATAAGTATTGGATATTATTTTATTATTATATATTAGCTTAGATATTACGTACATTCTTTTTAAGTATTAAATGTCTAGTTTTAAAAAAAAATAAATGTACTTTGTGTTGGCATTAAAAGCCGGGTATCATTTCATTTGTGTGTGTGTGTGTGTTCCTAACTCCAGTAGGACATATTAGACACTTATGACCTCACTTATTGTAGTTAAGAGTATTCATTTATCTTAAGCTTCTGCAGCCTTTCTCTTCTGCCTAAATTGGCTCGTCATGTTCGTAGTGAGTATCGTCTTACGATTACTTATTGGTGCACTTCTTCATTCTCTCTTCCTCTCACTAGACTTATGAGCTTCATTGGGGCCAAGAATGTCTTCTTTTATACACCTTCATCCTTGTAGACACTGTCTGATAGAGAGTAGGTGCTGAATAAATATTTGGTGAATGAATAAATTCTAATTCCTTTTGAATTTAGGGGGTCTGTAGATACTGAGATCCACTGTTCTGGTGTTCTGCCCTGCTTTGAAGTCTATAAATCAATAAGCCCAAAACCCCATATGATAACGATGAGGTACAGAGCGCCTGCAATTTCTCAGACTAGCTTGGCAAGGCTGCCTATTGAGCTCTCAGAGAGACATAGTATATTTTAGAGTTTTTGATAACAGCGCAAGAGTAGATGAGCACAATAAAAAATAAATAAACAAGAGAAATGTATGGCAAAGTATTTGCTCCACAATTTGTACTAGGTTTTATCATCATCTGATTTTGGGGTCATAAAAACTAATCTTCCTTTTTTTGTGCTTCTCCTGTGCCTGCTCAAGAGATAGCTAGTTCCTTTTTGGAATTAGTAAGCCAGGCATAAACAGCCAGTTGCCTAACTCAAGTAACAGAACAGAACTTTCACGGAAACTATTTAAGTATTCAACCTTCTATTGTTGGTTTTAGTCGTTCTGCTTTTGAACATGTATCTTGAGGAGCCAATTCAACAGAAGCATACTAAGGATACTTATCAGTATTAAATAATTTTATTTTTGGAATAGTTAAAAACACAACGTATATAATGATATGCAAATAAATTTGATTCATTAAAACAGTAAAAATGAGAGAGAAAAAGCTCAGAAGCCACAAAAGAAAAACAGCTTATGTAATGATGAAGCCACACAGTTGGAGATTAGGACGACTCTGGGACATGGTAGGAAAGTGGTGATTATTTCCAGCTAAAACGCAGCGTACAAATTGCTGTGTAGTTCTGATGGGCACTTTTAAAATTCCATTTGATATGCAAGGTGTGAAAGGAGTTCCACCAAAAGGAAATAATCATTTTGGAGGGAATTGTTAGTAACAGTTCTTATGTTCCAAAAAATGTAATTATTGCTATACCATCTTTGTAATGAGAAAAATAACCAATTATTCCCCTTTCACTTTCAGTAAGTGATGAAATGTCCAAGGACTGCTTGAGCATCCTGTATAACACCTGTGTCTGTGTAAGTACCCCGGCTGTTGGAGCTCCGCTTGTCTCTCCGTCACAACTGCAATGCTTGAGTAGGGAAGATTCCAGTGGGGGGTGGCAGACATGAGCACTGTCTTCTGATACTTGGTGAATTGGACTTATTTTTTGTGTTCCTGAGAACCAAGACTAAGGCATAGGCTCATAATTTGTAAGAGCCACAGTTGCCTTGGCAGGCACTGAACTCTTTAGCTCTGGAGGTGTCCGAGTAGGGTATGAGCACTTGTCAAAGAAATGCAAGCATTGGAAGGGTGTCTATGAATGACCTTTATGATGCCTTCCCACTCCACATTCTGAGATCCAGCCTGTTCCTTCATTTTCCTTGTTTACCAGATAACACTCAGATGCCCCGCCCATGTACTGAACAGGAGTCTCTTTCTACCATGTTAACCATTGAGTGAGTGGTGCTTTAAAATGTCATTAGGCAGAAAGAGAAGAGCCTACTGCTTAGTGTTAAAACTTGATGTTGGGTTTTAGGTTTGGGCTTCATGGCTATTCACTTTCCTTATTAAAAATTTTAGTAATACTAACATTATAAGGTTATTGTGATATACTGTCACAATACTATCACTATATACTATCTCATATATCTCAAGTATATGAGATAGTAAATAAACATGAAGGCATTTAAAAAGCATCAATCCTTGATCAAGCCCTACCAGACATCCTACACCCTCCTTGCCATCTATTTTCGATCACTTGTTCCCTTGTCCCTGGGTTTGTTAACACCTACTTCCTTTCCCCCACCTCCCCTCTCCCATGTCCCCCCTGGAACTGTCATACAGGTTTTTTCTCCTCCGGCCTGTTTATCCCGCCTATCTTACCTAGAGAGACATGTAGAGATAATAATATGCACAAACAAAAGACCGAGCAAAACAAAGCAACAATAGAAAATAAAACAATAGCTCCAACAACAACACCGAAAGGAATTACTGAAACCCAAAGGAAGGCTGAACATGGTAGTGGACAAGAGGAAAGTAAAAGGAAATAGAGGAAAGAACTAGGAGGCAGAGGGCATTTATAGAGGTCTAAATACAGTAAGGTGACCGCATTTTAACATTGGCAAAACACCATTGATAAAACTCATATCCTGGCGAAATAGCCACATGGCAGCCGAAAACCATATACTCAAGCTTGTCGTGCATTCTTTCCAAAAATCGGGAATTTTTAAAACGCCGCGGGACGGGGTAAAAATTGTTAAAAACCGGGACTGTTAAATTGTTAAAAATCCCGCTTTTGGCGGGACTTCTGGTCACCTTAACATACAGGCATACACATGTGTAAATATATTTATATATGATGATAGAGAAACAGATCTATGTACATATATTTATAGGTTTAGTATTAAGGTAGCAGATGGACATTGGGCCTCTACTCAAGTACTCCCTTAACACAAGAACACTTTGTTGTAATAATGCGGCATTCTGAGATGCTCACCTTCCCGACATGATTGATCGCTGAAGACAAATGGGTGTATAAGCAAATGTGGTGAAGAAAGCTGATGGTGCCCAGCTATCAAAAGATACAGCGTCTGGGGTCTTAAAGGCTCGAAGATAAACAAGGGGGCCGAGAAGCAACAAAGCCCACATGGAAGAAGCACACCAGCCTATCATGAGGTGTCAATGGAATCAGGTATCAGGCATTAAAGACCCAGAACAAAAAATCATAATGTGAATGGGGTAGTGGCGGTATGGAGTGGAGACCCAAAGCTCACCTGTAGGCAATTGGACATCCCTTTATTAGAATAGTCATGGGGAGAAGACGGGCCAGTCAGGGTGCAGTATAGCACCGATGACACATACAGCTTTCCTCTGGTTCTTTAATGCTTCCCCCACCCCCACAATCATGACCCTAATTCTACCTTACAAATCTGGCTAGACCAGAGCATGTACACGAGACCAGAGCATGTACATGGCTACAGATAAGAACAGGGAATACAGGATAGATAAACTCCTTGGGACCAATATTGAGAAGAGGGTAAGGGGAAGATGTGGGGAGAAAGGGGGAACCGATCAAAATGACCTATCTCTAACCCCCTCCCAGGGGGGTGGACAACAGACAAGGGGGTAAAGGGAAACATTGGATAGTACAATACATGAAAAAATAATTTATAAATTATCAAGGGTTCATGGGGTGAGAGAAGGGAAAAATGAGCTGATACCAAGGGGTCAAGTAGAAAGAAAATGCTTTGAAAGTGATGATGGCAACATATGTACAAATGTGCTTGACATGATGTATGTATGTATGGATTGTAATAACAGTCATACGAGCCCCCAATAAAATTATTTATTTAAAAAAAGCATCAATCCGGGGCACGGGGGGAGGAGGGAGTGGGGGAAGAGGAGCTGATATCAAGGGTTCAAGTAGAAAGAAATTGCTTTGGAAATGTTGATGGCAACATATCTACAAGTGTGCTTAATACCATTATAAGAGCCCCCCAATAAAATGATTTTTTTTTAAATCCATTGTTAGGTTTTTAAGATGTGGTCTGTCTAAAAGCTCATAATGTAGTTAACCATATAAATAATGGATCAGAATTCAAAGCAAAATGACAAGGGTATTGTACAGGTAGAATTCATGTCCCATAGTGTCACCGTGAGTCAGAATTAACTCAATGGCAGGGGCTTTGTTTTTTGGTTTTTGTTTTGGGGTGTAGGCTGGTTAAGATCAAAACAAAAGTGTCAACTAAGTCCAAATGGAAGAAGCACATCAGCCTGTGTGATCCAAGGATTGTAAATAATAAAAACCAAATCTGAATGAGGAGGAAATTATCAGAGCCTAAATTGTAGACATCTAGTTTGGAGAAGGCTATAGATGACAATTGAAGCCCAAGATCCATTTGCAGGTTTTCCATATAGATTAATCTCCTCTGACCATAGCCTAAGGATGTGACTAGCCTACTTTTAGACAGCATTATAAAGTCAATTGTGGCAAATGTAGGTTAAATTTAACACCTTACCATTTGATCTCCCTTTTGACCCATTTTAAAGTTTCTGTTTTTAGTATTTTTCTGCTTTCTTTTTGATTGAGGTTTTTTCCTGTTTCATTTAGTCCTTGTTGGGTTTTTGTTGTTCGCTTCCTGCTTGTATTTTATATGATTTTCTGTATGTGAAATCCACGATAGGTAAATCTATAGAGACAGTAACTGGATTTATAATTACTTAGGGGAACAGCAGGGGAGATTTGGGGGGAAATGGGGAGTTAACAGCAATGAGTATGCGAGAAAAATGTTTTGAAATTGATTGTGGTGATGATTAAATTGTATAATATTCTAATTATATGCCAATAAAACTTTATTAAATGCCCAGAAAGTAACTTGTAACCAGTGAAGGCTTTTGGTGCTGTCGGGGAGGTGTTGGGCTGTTAACCCCAAGGTTGGTGGTGGTCGTGCTGTGGGAGAAAGATAAGACTTTCTGCGCCCACAGGGTTTACAGCCTTGGAAACCCGCAGGGGCAGCTCTGTTCTGTCGTGTCGGGTGACGAGGAGTCGCAGTTAACTCCATGACAGTGAGTTTGACCAGTGTTCATTGCATCACTTTTCATAACATCCAAAAGGTGGAAATACCCCAAATAGCCTTCAGCAATGACTGGGCAGACAATGTGGTACAGACTTACAGTGCAGTGTATTACTCAGCCAGCAGGAGAAATGAAGTCTTGATACCTGCTTCAGGGCAGTTGGAACTTGAGGACATTATGAAGTAAGTCGATCACAAAAGGACAAGTTGTTTGGCCTGACTTTTATAAAAAGACAAGTGAAGCCAAATGTACAGAGCCCAAGTTTATTACTGCTTGTCAGAGGTGGGAGGATGGGTAAGAAAAGAGTGTTAATGGTGTTGGGGAGAAAGTTAAATTGGCAAAAGTTAATAAATAAAAACAGTAGTTGCTGAGACTGACTGCATACAACCAAACACTTAATGGGCTTCGGTTCCTTTAGGGACATGGGCTAGCCCACTAATTGGCCTACAGATATGTTTTGTGCATCTGTTCTGGTTCATTGTAGAGTGCCTGGGGCCTTAAAAGCACAACAGTTGGTGTTTCAGTCCAGGTTGACTAGAGAAAAAAATTCATAGACATGCATATAAGAAAGAGCTTTATATACAAGAGCAGTTGAATGTTGAGAAAAGAGACTGGTCCAGATCAAGTTCATAAGTCCGATACCAATCTATAATGCCCTCTTCTGACTCAAGAAACACATGCAGTAACAAATGCAGGAAGATCACAGGCCAGTGGGCAGGAAGTCTTGTGGATCCAGTGGCGGCCTAAGCGTCTCAACACTGGCAGGGGTCTCCTCATGGCTTTTCTAGCACCCAGGGCTGCATCAGGGTAGGTCCATGTGGCTTCTCAAAGATGTCTAGCATGGAATTGGCTTTGTCAGTAGAGAGTCTCCAAGGGAGTGAGCAGAGAAGCTATGTCTCCCGCCTCCAAGGAAGAAATACCGGAGTTCCCAGAATACTCAGGAGAAAGGCATGCCCACACAGAGGCTTCATTGGCTATATTCTGATTGACAGGCGAGACTCCACCCCTACACTCTTAATACTCAAATTGACACCAGATTATGTAACTACCACAGTTTGTCTCTATTCATCTGGAGTAACAGAAAGCAAGATAGAAATAGGAAAATGTGGGACATGTGGCTAGTTGCCTTCATGAACAATTGCTTCCTTTGTTGTGAATCCAGAATGCCAGGTTACCATTGCTAAACATTTTGGTCAGAATCCATTGAAGGATCCTGATGAAAGGAGGGAATGTAGAGCAGAATTTCAAGTTCTATTGGGCTCCAAACTTTCTGGAGCCATGGGGATACTTGACCTTTGAAACTGTTGCCCTGAGACAATCTTTACAACTTAAACCAAAAATATCCCCTGAAGTCTTAAAACTAAAGTCTTTTTTTTTTTTAAGCTAGTACAAAAGATCCATGAGTCAGAATTCACTTGTTGGAAGAAGATTTTGTTGTGTATTTTGGTTTAGTATTTTACTG